GTGCAGTATGGAGGAGGTGGGTGCTGTATGGAAGAAGTGGGTGCAGCAGAGAGGATTTGGGTGCAGTATGGGTTCAGGATGAAGATACTAGGTGCGGTATAGTGGTACTAGATGCAGGATGAGGTTACTATGTGCAGTATGGGGGTGGGTGCAGTATGGAGGAGGTGGGTGCCGTATAGAGGTACTAGATGCAGTATTGAGGTATTAGGTGCAGTACAACCAATATGTAAGTGGTAATGATGCACAATAACCTATAACAACCAATCAGTGAGTGGTAATAATGTGCAGTAATCTCTAGCAATAAATCAGTGCGTAATAATGGTGTGCATTAACCTCTAGCAAACAATCAGTGAGCAGTAATGATGTGCAGTAACCTCTAGTAACCAATCAGTGAGTGGTAATGATGTGCTGTAACCTCTAGCAACCAGTGGGTGGTAATGATTTGCTGTAACCTCTGGCAACCAATCGCATTCTGATCTGCTGCAGTAAACTGATGTTGAGTCTAGCTGCTATTTATTGTATGCCTCAAAGCAGGTGGAGAGCAAACTTGTATGGGGAGTGGGGCCCAAGAAAATGTTTACACAGGGTCCAATCAATATTAAAGACGGCCCTGACTAGGGTATACCTCTGTATTCTGGAGTCAGCTGTAAGAGGGGACTTCTCTTACTTTGACAAATTTTACTCTCGCTTCTGTGTCTCTAGGATACGAAGTAAGAAAAATCCCCTCAGTGGGAGACAGTTAAAAAAATGGAAAAAAATGGCTTTAGATAAACTTTAAATGACATATGGTATGCTTGAAAAATATGTACCTTGGTGCTTTTAGGAGACAAGGAACACCGAAAATGATGAAGTAGATGGAAGCGTGATATCAAGATATAGAAGAAGAAGAGGAGTCAAGGTTACTGGGAGATACATTCCTCCTTTAGAGTGGGAGAAGGTAAATGCATCCCATTCTGTGAGTTCCTTAAATAATTCCTTCTTCGATAAGATATATGATGATATGGAAAATTATTTTCAAGCATCTGATATGTCTACTAAACTACTTCTCAAGGATGAAAGACAAGGTGCTACGCAAACAGATCACAGAGGAGACAACACACATAAAACAGAACAAGAAAAACAAAGAATGGAGCCGATGGCATCTACACAAGCTTCTGCGAATATGCCTCAAGAAAAGATAAATAACAAAAAAACATATAATAAAAATACAACAAAAAAAATCTGATGAAGATGTGTTACCTTGTGGTTCTGCAATACCCAAAGAGACATTAGAAGAGCTGAAACACTTTATTAAGGAGAGTCCATTAATTCATCATAAACACAAACATGATCCAAAAATCAACACCACCATAACTCACATACATCTTCCAAAACGTGTTGAAAACACAAGAGAAAAGCCTGGCTTAACTTTTGAAACATTTCGGCCACATTTGGAAAAAGACATCCAGAAGCAACAAGCTGAAAACTTTTTTGAGGCAAAGCAATCACATGACATGCTATTTGATCCAATTCTGCCAGATCCTGCAGGCTCACAGAAAGATGAACAAATTATACAACCCATACAGACATTTAATGGAAACCAGATATTAATACCTGATCAATTAGGTATTGCCGCTGGATCCAAGTTTGAACCTCCAACCACTGAGTTTAAGGGTAAGGATACATTTCAGCCCATAAATAGGGAAATGTTTGTCGTATGTGCGTATAAAAATGACATTTTAATTATGTTTTTCGAATCTGTGCAACATGCTATAAAAATGGAAAAATTTAGTTAAAGAAATGTTCAAAACAAACCTGTACTACATTTTAGAGTAAGGACAAGTACTGCTTAAGTAAAGAGAACCACAGTATGCTGGCTATTAGTCAAAACATTATGTGCTCCTTCTGACTTTCTTTTGTTTTGTTAATAAAAATAAAACAGCATATGGCTAGGAAAGGTAACATCTAGAACAAACTATTTTTTTCCCTTTATCATGGAATTTTCAGGGCATATATATCACAACAAGTAGAAAAGATGTATGTTTTGATAAAAGATCATCATTTTTTTTAGCATACAAAAAGTAAAAAGAGGAAAACACATATACATTTACAAATTAATGTTTCTCAACACCCACAGTGACTTAGCTGTCAACATATGATTATATGGTTCGTGTGGCTTCATATACCCTTCAGCTGATGCGTTTTAGAGACCTGTAACTCTTCAGGGGTATTAAGAGTTTTCACATCTCTACAATGTAATTGGATATATATTATATTACATACATCTTTCAATATAAATTTAACTTGCGTCTATATATATAGCATATTACTCACAAATGACAGCAATACATGAGAACAAGAAGCCTTATAGATGCAATTAAAACCAATGAGTGAGAATTTCACCATGCCACGGATTTGGACCCAGGGCAAAAGGAAGCCCAAACTATGCCAAGGGAGGAGAGAGGAAGATGCGGGCAACAGCTACTGGGGCCAAAAAGTTGACCTTAAAAAAATATATATAAGCAAGTGGAAAATGATTGTATTTGTAGGCCCCACATTGTTTAAATTGTATAATCCAAATAGAGAATCACAGTAGAGAGATATTATATGGGCTGTATATGCTATAGGGTCCACTTTTCAGCCCCAGTAGCTGTTGCCCGCCTCTAACTCTCTCCTCCCATGGGATAGTTCGGCCTTCCTTGCTGCTCTGGGTCCAGTTCTGTAGCATGGTGAAAGCTTCACTCATTGTTTTTAATTGCATCTGTACGGCTTCTTGTTCTCACGTATCGCTGTCATTTGTAAGTAATATACTATATATATATATATATATATATATGAACAGCAGTGTTACGCTAACTCATATACAAAAATATCATGTAAAAAAATTTAACTAAATACATAAATAAAATTAATAAATACAGAGTCCTTGTATTGTGACAGTTCAATCCAAAATTGTGCTTGAATAAATGTGCTTGATATATAAAAAATGTGCTCCAAAAAACTTACAAAGACGACAGTGCTCCACCATAACTATGTGCACCTCCACCTACAGATAAGGATGGCTGCTCACCTCATAAAATGGACCTATAAATTAATATACAGGTCTACCAAGCATAGTAATTCCATCAAAGAGGCTCCAGATGACAGCAAAGAGCTGATACAAGCACCACCATAGATGACACTATAACACAGATCTCTTCACGACTTAAACTCCACATGTAGGAAGAAAGGAACTGCTTCCATAGCGTAATAACATTTATTTAATTAAAAAACATGTTCAGAGTAACACTCACATTATGCAGGGTATATACAGCACCGCTTCGTTTTCCTTGCTGAAGCCACGTAACGCATGGGGCGGAGCTTAGTGACATCATTCCCGGTCACACTCGCGGACTTGAAGTCTTAATTTGTGATACTGATCTGTATATACCCTGCATAATGTGAGTGTTACTCTGAACATGTTTTTTTAAATAAATAATCTGTCGTCTTTGGAAGTTTTTTGAAGCACATTTTTATATATCAAGCACATTTATTCAAGCACAATATTGGATTGAACTGTCACAATACAAGGACTCTGTATTTATTTATTTTATCTATGTATTTATTTAAATTTTTTACATGATATTTTCGTATATGAGTTAGAGCAACACTGTTATTCATATTTGTTGTTTTCAGTGTGGGATCACTTATAAGTGTTATTGCAGCAGCTCAGTTAGTGTTTTCACTTTATGATAGCGCACATTCTTTTTTCTTTATTTAATACACTATATATAGATGCAAGTTAAATTTATATTGAAAGATATAATAATATAATATATATATACAATTACATTGTAAAGATGTGAAAACCCTTAACACTCCTGAAGAGTTTCTCTGAAACGCGACGGATGAAGGGTATATGAAGGGTATATGAAGCCACACGAACCATTCAATTAGATGTTGACAACTATGTCACTATAGGTGTTGAGATACATTAATTTGTAAGCCGTATATATGTGTTTTTCCTCTTTTTAATTTTTGTATGCTAATAAACATATGATGATCTTCTAGGAAAACATACATCTTTTGTACTTGTGATATATATGCCCTGAAAATCCCATGAAAAAGGGAACAAATTGTTTGTTTTATTTGTAAATAGGGATGTGGCATTTTGTGAGTATACCCACAATCAAGTAGGAAAAGTAACATCTGTCATCTTGTGATACAGATCTTTACTTAAAAAAAAAATGGAGTACAGGGTCATTGTAAAGATGTGGGGCTATATTAGATCAGTGATTGATCCTGGCGGCACATGGTAGTTGCTTTAATGTAACTGAATAGAATTGGTTCCTCGCTGGCTCAGAGCACTACTAAATCTCACTCTATAGTGAGTGAGCATTGAGGGATTTATATTTTACAAGTCTGGTTAGCAAATAAGTGACTCCATAGCAAAACGTAGCCTTTTAGTGTTTCCATTGCTGCTTCTATGCTCACATTCAAATCAATACAGGAAAATTTTTGAAGTAACGATTGGAGCCTGTATCTGAATTGGCTAATGTTTCAAGCTCCCAGGATCTCAAAATCTTCTGCACTGCCGAATATTGTTTCTTTCCAACTTAACCAACATTTAATGAACTGTAGAGAGTGTCTGAACACCATAAAAAGAGGAATAATCACTTACTTACACACTGGGAAGTCTCTCTAGAAATTAACATGCATTTCCAATGCTCACACTTGGTCCTTATCTCTCTGAAGTCCAGCCCTAGGAATCTAGTTATAGCAAGTGTACAAATGTTTCACAAAAGATAGTACATTATTTTCTAGTGCTAATTGCTTTGGCAAAAAATTTTATTGCTCTTAGTGCTTATTTTGTTGTGTCAATAATTTTTTTAAATACCATTTTCCAAATATTCATCCTTCATTAAATTATTAATTTTACCGTTTACAATTTTTGTTTGGTATGCATTTTACCTGTTATTTTTTTCAGTATAAGGGCTTTTTTTTTCTTTCTTTTTTTTGTATTAGATGACCTACCTGCCAGTAGTAAAGATGCTGATCCGAGTGGAGATGGAACTGAGGATTCTTTTAGCTTAATTGCCCTTGTTGAACGTTTAAAGCAACAGATTGCTAGAGAAGATATACGATTTGTCCGGTTTGAAGCTACTGATCTGCATGGTGTGTCAAGGTCAAAAACCATTCCTGCACGTTTTTTTCCAGGTAGACGTCATAGGTGTCTGGTTGTTTTAAGATTTATCAGAAAATTATCTCCTTATGTGCCTTTAACATATAACCTATCATAGGTGATTAACACATAATGATGAGTGAGCAAGGGTGTTTTATATATATATATATATATATATATATATATATATATATATATATATACACTATATTTTTGGAACAGTGAATTCAGTATGTTATAAAAAATCATTCACCTTATAAGAACAGCACTAAAATTTCAACAAAAAAGTGATATGTTCAATAATCAATAAATAGTGTGATTCAACACATAAACAACACAATGATGTGCAAATCATTAAAAATACACTACTAAAACAATTGTCTCAAGTCTATATATGTGGCCAGTAATTGACAATCCCATTTTTGAGTGTGGTTCATGTTGGTCACTACATGATCCTCCACCAGTCAGAACCCTCACTTCCCAACTATAGTGACCCTCAGATTATAGGAGGGTCAAAAGGCCTGAAGTTAGAATCCATAGACTGGAAAACTCTCATCTCCCCAATAACTCGTGGTTAAGAACAGACAACTATCCACTTACATTTAAAAACAGTTCAAGTGCATTTAAAGCATTACACATCCTTGGGCATTGCAATAATATTTTTATTATTATATAAAAGGATTTATATAGCGCCAACAGTTTGCGCTGCCCTTTATAATATAAAGGTGAACAGTACAATTACCGTACTATACAGTTCAATACAGAAGGAATAGGAGGGCCCTGCTCATGGAGATTCAAATCTAAAGGAAGGGGAAGGTGGTACAAAAGGTGATAGCTGCAGGGGATGATCTGTTGGCGGTGACCCAAGTATAGTTCTTAGTAGAGTTACCACCTTTTCTTCAAGCCAAACACTTTAGCGGCGCACTGCATTTTTCTTGGAGTATACACTATAAGATTGTAAAATACCTAATACATTTTTGGGTGCCCCAAGGAGAATAGTAATGTGGCTTAACGCACTGCAGCGAACAGTGGGTGTGGCCAAATTGTAAGTGTTATGCACGGAATGCAGAGGTCAGGTATAATTAATTTACGTAATGCAGGGGACAGGTGTGTGTAATGCATAGCAGGAGGCAGGGATGTAGGGGTAAGAAGAGTGCAATATTCCCTCCTTGAGCAATACTCTCCCCCACTTTACCCTATCATCAAAAAGTTCTCACTCACTCTCCTGCCAAAAAAAAATCCAGAACTAATTTTTATACTCATCACCACCACCACCATCAAAAATAATTTCTCCACCTCCCAGAAAAATGTCCCCCCCCCCCCCCCACCAAAACAACTCTTCTTCCTCCTTCCTCAGCACAAGTCCTACACGATCTCCAAAATCCTCCCTTCTTCCCCATCCCAGAACTTATCCCCACCCCTTTCAATTCCCCCTCCTAATACAAATCCTCTTCCCCTACCAGCACAAACCCTCCTTCCCCCGAATACCCCTCTTATTTATTTTAGTTATTTATTTCAGGTGTTTATATAGTGCTGCCAATTTACGCAGCGCTTTATATATATTGTACAATTACATCAGTCCCTAACCCTCAAGGGGTGTACAATCTAAGGTCCCTAACTTACATTCATACATACACACACTAGGGCCAATTTAGACAGGATCCAATTAACCTAGCAGTATGTCTTTGGAGTGTGTCAGGAAACCGGAGTAGCTGGAGGAAACCCATGCAAGAACAGGGAGAACATGAAAACTCCAGACAAGTGGTGCCATGGCTGGGATTCGAACCAACGACCCTAGTATTGCAAGGTGGACATGCTAATCTTTTAGCCACTGTGCTGCTGCACATACTCTTCCATATAAATAAATAAATCCTCTTCCATCCACCATTTCCTCCCTCCCAGCACAGCCCTCCATTCCAATACAAATCTCCCCCCAAAACCTCTCTTGTAGTAGAAATCTTTCTGCTCCTCACACTACCCCCCCCCCCCCCCCCCCAAACAAAAAACCCCACTTCTACCACATTTGCTCTCCGTGAAAAATTCACCTTCCCAGCACAAATCATCTTCCACTCCCCGAATCCCTCTCCCAGCACAACTCTGCATTCCAACACAAATACCCCATCCCCACATCCCCTCCAAGCATAAATCCCCCTCTCAGTACAAATCCTTTACCCCAAATCCCCCTAAAAGCACAACATGCTCTCCATCCTGTAACAATTCCTCTCCCCTTGCCCTCTATAGCACAAATCATCTTTCCTCAAGGACTACACAAGTCCTCTACCCACTTCCATCCCGAATCCTCCAATCAAATCCCCCTCCCAAACACAAATCCACTCCCCCCTTCTAATACAAATATATATCTCCCAGCCATCATGGTTTTCATGGGCCTTTCCTGAGATTTGAACAAAATCCCAACATCCCATTAATCCAGTTATGAAACAAGTTCTGGCACTTGACTCAACTAACTTGCCCAGTAGGAGGACACTAGCGTGGGCAAATGCCCTGCCTCTCTTGGGGTGCCAGGGTTCAGATGCCATTATCATCCCCTCGGTGGCAGCCGGCATCTCTTTGATTTGAGGGAGCAGTGGGGAAAGATATGTGCTTGGAGGTGCTTTGAAAGGGGAGAGGGCTAGTGTTAGTGGTGGGGGTAGGATATGTGTTGGGGGGTGCTGTGGAAGGAGGGAGGGCTAGTGCTAGCATGAGGGATGGGGGGGTTGGACATGGATAGAGGGGCACTTTGGGAGGGGAGAGAGCTACTGCTAGCAGGAGGGGTAGGGGGAGTTGGATATGTGCTGGGGGGTGCTTTGGGAGAAAGAGGGCTAGTGCTGGAGGGGGTAGGATATGTGTTGGGGTGTGCTTTGGGAGGAGGGAGGGCTAGAGCTACCAATGCAGATCAGATATATGCTGGAGGGGGTGCTTTGGGAGGGGAGGGGACTTTTAACTTGTTCCCTTTCCCAGCCACTCTGTTCCCCTTCCTCCCCTGTCCATCTACAGAGTATAATAAACTTTCTACAGACCTCAGATAAGCGTCTGCCCCTCCTCCCCTCTCCCCCCCTCCCCCCTGTGTGTGAATATCAGAGTGGACTTGTCACAGGTTAGCATGCCCCTGCAGACAGTCCCAGCACAATCTGTTCTGAATAATGTGTCTGGGTCTCAGGCATACGGAAACCCTCACACATCATTCAAAACCCAGACAGGGTGGCAACCCTAGTTCTTAGGTGGAGGTGGGGTAGGCTTCCCTAAATATGTGAGTTTTCAAAGAATTTCTAAAGGCAGACAGGATGGGGGTTGGCCAAACATACTGGGGTAGGCAGTTCAAGAGGATGAGAAAGGATCTAGAGAAGTCCTGGAGGAGAGCATGAGAGGAGATGACATAGGAAGTAGAGAGCAAAATGTATTGGGAGGAGCGGAGTGGACGATATCTGCAGATGAGGATGGTGATGTAGCTAGAGGCTGTGTTGTGCATGGGTTTGTATGTTGTGGTTAGTATTTTGAATTTTATATGTTGGGCTAATGGAAGCCAGTGAAGGGATTGTCAGAGAAGGGCAGCAGTTGCTAATTGGTTGGTAAGGTGTATAAGTCTAGCAGCAGCAACATAATATACTGAAGGGGGGGGGGGGATAGCATGTGTAAAGTTAAGCCAATGAGGAGGGAGTTGCAATAATCAAGGCGGGATATAACCAAGGCGTGGATAAGTTTTTTTGTGGTGTCGTTAGTCGGGAAGGGGTGAATTCTGGAAATACTGAAAGGTTGAGGCAGCAGGATTTAGCAAGTGATTGGATGTGGGGACTGAAGGAGATGCTGGAGTCTAGGATTACACCTAGCACTCTGGCATGTGGGGAGGGACCAGCGGTTGAGCCATTGATCTTAATGTTAAAGTCATGAGTGGGGGATCGGGGAGGAGGAAAAATATTACAAGTTCAGTTTTAAAAAAATGGTATTGAGTTTGAGGAAGTGGTGTAACATCCATACTGATATGTTGCTCAGTAGATTTGTGACAAGTGAGAGGATCGAGGGGGCGAGCTGGGGAGTATAGAGATAGATCTGGGTGTCATCAGAGGTGGTATTAGAAGCCATGGGAGGTTATCAATTGGCCCAGGGAGGAGGTGCAGAGAGAGAAAAGGAGGGCCCCAAGGACAGAGCCTTGAGGTTCCTCAACAGAAAGAGGAAGTAGAGTGGAGGAGTTAGTGTTGTATGTGACGCTGAAAGTGCATTGAGAAAGGAGGAGAACCAAGAAAGAGCAGAGTCATGGAGGACAAGGGAGTGGAGGTTACTGAGGAGGAGCGGGTGGTCAACTGTGTCAAAGGCAGAGGAAAGGTCTAAGAATATGAGTAATGGCCATTGGTTTTAGCAGTTAGGTCATTAGTGAGTTTTAGTAGGGCAGGTTCAGTGGAATTTTTGTGGGTGGAAGCCAGACTGTAGGGAATCGAAAAGGTTGTTGGTGTTGTGGACAAGACAGGTGGGAGATGGGTCTTAAGTTATTCAAACAGGTGAGATCCAGCGGGGGTTTTTTAAGCATGGAGGTAACCAGTGCATGTTTGAACAGGGAGGGCAAGGTGGAGGTAGAAGAGAGAGGGTGAAGATGTGGGTTAGAGAGATTAGGATAGAGCAGGAAGGATGCTGCAGTAATTGTGAGGGACAGGGTCCAGGGGACAGGTGGTAAGGTGGGCCTCGGAAAGGAGTTTGACAACTTCTTCTGTAGTAACAGGGTAAAAGGAAGAGAGTATTGAGTGTGGTTTTGGACCTAGTATGTTGGTTGGAGGATAAAGCTTGACAATGGAGATCTCATGAATTGTGTAAATTTTGTTCTGGAATATGCCCCAGGGATATCTAAAGACCTGGGTACAAACCCTCCCACAATGAAAAGAATGAAATGCCAGATCAAAAAAATTGGGACTTTAAATTGTATCAGATATGAGGGAATAAAAAATACAACCGTATGTAAAACCAAAATCAGTTTAATTGCAAAATAAGATTACAGCTTGACAATGGAGATCTCATCATGAATTGTGTCGATCTTGTTCTTGAATATGC